AAAAAATTGCATGGTCTGACCTTGGGGTGAATATCCTGGGATGTCCACTCCTGAGAACATTAGCATTATCCAAACGCATACCTTTATGCTCAGACCATCAAATTGTCAAATCTTATGCTTTTAAATAAGTGCTCACACTTGCAATTAATCCGTTAATCAAGTGAATTTGATTAGTAGCACCTGGCTACTACTTGCTTAACTCTTGTGGAACCAATTTCCACGAGACTATAAGAAAGTTTGGTGCAAACTTTCTTTTTGACATGACCACACTAGCTGTGATGTCCCCAAACTAACTTGTTTAAAGATGATAAAAAAAAATGAAATGTTGTCTAGTCTTTATGCAAATGTAAATGAACATCAGTTTTCATGTTGACTATTTCTTTTCTGAAGTAAAAACAATCACAGTGTTAACACATTTAAAAAAAACACTTTAAAATCTGTGTTCACATTACTTTAGAGGGAAAACTATTCACTTAAATTCCACAGTGAGTGATAAAGAGAGTCATTGATCTGTGCTCTCTTTAAAATTTTTTTTACCAGATCACAGTTTTGCCTTTGTCGGTGTCATCCCTCAGCTTTAAACATTTGCTCAGTAACATCAACAAGGGCTGAGAATGATTCAGCTCACAGATATCCATTAAACAACCTTCTGTATCTGGTTTTGCGCCCGGAGATGTTTCACAAATCACGTTGCATGCTGTCAGAGTAAACACCCCGTGGAACCTCTGAAAAAAATCAATCCAGCCTTGTAAAAATGATCAAAATAAAGTTCAATGTGTTTTTGCAAAAAACGACAGACGAAACAATGACAAAAGGCTTTTTCACAGCTCTCCCACAGGCGTGCACCACTGGCAGATATAAAGGACTTTACCACGGTGTCTAATGCAGTGGGAAAATTCAAGTCAACAAACAGCGTTTGTGTTAGCCAAAGAACGGGGTTCAGTGGTTCAGGGCCTTTTGTGTGTGTCTCCTGTATTTGTATCTGTACACATAAAGATAAGAGAAAACACTGCCCACTGCACAGCCAACCCCCTTCTTCCACAGTAAGGGTCCTTATAAAAAGAGGTGCATTCATCACTACAGCCATTCACACTTCAAAGCAGCTTGGCCAGGACAAAAGGCACAGCGAGCACAAAGGACAGTGCCATAACTCTTCCTCTGCTGTCACTGTGAAAGACCCCCACATTTTAACTCTAACCACTGGGGCTACTGAAAAATCAAACATTGAATGTGTTCATCTAAAAAAAAAAAAATGTGTACACATGACTAAATGTCATGATGCCAGTCTTAAATTCACAAATGCAAACGAAGAGGCTGAGCCTGAACTTATTTCTCTGCAACTGTCAACAAAGGAAAGACTGCAGTATGACTCATCGTGTTTCACGGAGTCCCGTTATGGTGAAAATCTATTTGTGCCCTCTAGTCACTTTTCATTTTCAAGCCACTTATTTCCTCAAGTGTCTGCATGTATGCGGCCTGCCAAATACTGGATGCAACCCACATAACAGAATAGCCCAGCATTGATTTATGCAGGACAAAATATAATTTGCACTGCTTTTCCTGGACTTAAGCAGTAACCAATATTATTTTACTTTCTAGAGACCCAGGAAGTAACATAATGTTTCTAAGCATTTGCTACCTGTGAACAGGTTATGTTGTAGTGAGTAATTTGTAGCTTACCAATGGCTTGCGCCAAAGCGATGACCACTTCCTGGCATGTGGTGAACTCCGTGACCCCGCACACAATGCGCTGCACTCCGTCCACCCACACTTTTAGCTCCATGGCCTTCATTCCTTCACACCACAAGGAGCCGCTAGAGATTCTTTATTTTGCATCCTGGAGAGCGAAAAATTAAAAA